CAAAATACTCCATTTTCCCCCCCGTTAAGTACAGAAATTCTCATTTGGGGGATACCAACCCATTTTATCCAAATCAAATGCCCAATTCACCTAAAATTTAAGGTTGAACAAAGAATTTAATTTAAAAGATTTATATTTTAGTTTTTTTATGCCAATACTCTCAGGCAATTATAAAATTTTCTTTATAAAAACAACATACAGAAGACACTGTATGTTCTGTTCACAGATGTTAACTTTGAAAACTGTGAGCTAATTCAGAAGTGCTACTTATCTTAAAATTGAACACCTTGGTACAAAGTTTACATCTTTGGCCTATTGCATGCAGTTTATGTCTTAGCTGAATAGAAGAATGGAGATACGCAAAACACTATTTCTTTTGTTCATTGGCCTCTTATATTTTCAGCTTAAATAATAACTCCTTCCTTTTTTACTCCAGATTTGAAATTTCTCCTCCATCCCATAGCATAGCGGTAGGGCGTTTGCCTTGCCAGCAGCCAGCCCGGCCAAGCTGGGTTCGATTCCTCTGCCCCTCTTGGAGAGCCTGGCAAGCTACCGAGAGTATTCAATATGCCAAACACAGTAAGAAGAAGTCCTACGATGGAGACGTTGCTGGGTCTGCTCAAGCAAGCAAATTTATAGATTTCATGCCACAATTCTAATGCTGCTAAAAATCATAACTAGACCTCCTATAATTGTACCCTGGCATTGTTGTTGTGTGAGCACAGATTACCAACTGCAGAATATAACCTGAAAGGAACAAATGAGCTGAATATATATTTCCTTACCCATCACGGAATGAATCTTTGTCTCTGGTTGTTTTCATTTCACCTTTGTTTATTAAAAATATATTTGCTATAAAAACAACAGCAGAAAAAAAATGACTCAAGAAATTTAAGCTCTCTTTTTGCAACATCCAAGTTTTTCGTAATTGGCCAAAGCAGTCAGTTTATACTTTAAAAATATTCTTAGAGGACATATATATATAATTTAAAATCATAGAAACTATCAAAAATTTATGATCAAATATCAAACAAATGAAATCTTCAACACTGCCAAGACATAGTGTGGCTTGTTTTGCTTTCATTTTATGATTGTGGAATGAGCTCAGAATTCAAAGAAACATTGTTGTGATTCCCTGAGACCTTCATATTGCTTCATCCTTATTAGATAGAAAAGCTAGGAAGGTGTTCTTCACTCTGTATCATAAGTCATCTGATGGGTAGAGATCCATATTATTCTTTAAGCTCAAGTTTGATGCTACTTCTGCTGTAACATTTGTCTAGATGTCATTCAAAACCGTGGTGCAAAAAAGTCCCAGCAATGGATTCCTTAGGAGCCTGCTTCAAGTATAAGAATTGTGAGTTATGAAAATTATCTGCTTCTGGTGATAAATTTTTACTTAATAAATCTCTTCTTCAGATAACAAATTTGTTTTTAATTTTGATTCATTTGTCCTCCCGCTTGGTGAGGTAAAATATGACCTATGAAATTCATGCTGTGGCTTGATAGGGTTTCCTTACACAACTTGAAAATGGTCAGAGCTGTTAATTGCCCTGCTGCTGACTTTCATTCTCTCTCACAGAATCTTGTCTCTAACATTTCCTGCTGCTGAACTCATTCTCCTCATAGGCAAGATCTTCTTTGTCTCCATTTGGCTTCTACGTATGCCAGTGATCATTTAATTTATTTTCCTGCACCATTTAACTAGGGTTTCCTATGTCTATTTTCAGGACAAATAAAACATTAAAATCTCAAAAAATAGAAATCAAACTTAAGTCTGTCTCGATGTCAATCAAAAAATGCATTTAAATGCTGTATTAGTATTATTAATTTGTAATCGTTTTTCCACTTTGGTTGTGATATTTTATTATCTTTACAAAAAATCTATTCTGAAAATTGCACATCGATTACACTCCAACACATTTTCTCATCATAACTTTAACATGATTAGTGTTCTTTTATAGTTCAGTCCCTTTAAAGAGTCTCCTGCTTTTATTTCTTAAATAAAGGCTACACCTAGCAATAGGGTGTAGAGCCTGGGAGGGTTAGTGATGTGACATGTGTCAGGAATATGACATCACACCTCAATATTTATACACACCTCATCAGATCCACCGCCAAAGTTCTAGAGTCTGTCACCACATTTCCTTCTCTCTCTTTTACGACATCCCCATATACTCTGGTCACTACCATATTTTTCTGAGTCTATAAACTACTTTTACTGTGTTTTATTTCCAGATTTTCTTGTATAGTCGAGCTCTTTTATAGAAGCAGTAGTTATTCCCATATACAATTGTAAAGATATGTTCTAGAGAGCTTTATGCAAGGCCATGCAAATTAAAAAGTGATGGAGATAAATTTGAATTCAGATTTGAGAGTCTTCAAAACTCATGATATTGCTACAAGAATTAGCACAGTGTCCTACTGTACTGGACTGATGTTTGGGAGAGAAGTGAGAATCAGGTTCCAATAATTTAACCAGGTACTCATAGTAGGTGGCAGAGTCATTCTAGTAAAGGTCCTCTACTTTTGGGCATCTTGTTTTTCCCTTCATACCAGAACTGTCTGGTTACTACTGTATCTTTGGTGGTGCTCTTGGAAGTTGAAGCTCCTTCTCACATCTTGAGATGTTGACGTTTGGCTTTCTGGATTGCCAGACAGAAACATTCTTGGCTCCTATCTCTCCAAGCTTGACAAAAAAGTGATGGTCTCGTTTTATGGGTTCACAAAATCACAAATCACAAATCATCCTGTTATTCGTCGATTGCCTCGAGCAGGCCCCAGTAACGTCTCCTTCATCCTAGCCCTGAGATTATATTCAAGGCTCTTTAGGAGAATGAGACCCATCATTGCTACTGGTATTTGGCATATTGGGTACGCCACGGGGAGTTTGCCAGACTCTGCCGTGTGGGCAGGCTACATTCGGTAGCCTGCCAGGTTGTTCAAAGTAGGAATGAGAAAATAAGATGTCATAATAAAATGTCGCGCAGCTGCGAATGTGGCCGCGCAGTTCCAGGAGCTGGTTTTTATAGTCTCTGAGTCTTGGCCGTTGATGGGATTACACGGGATTACAAGGGATTACAAGACTCAGAGACTATAAAAACCAGCTCCCAGAATAGAACAGTGCAGTCTCCTGCCCCCCCCCCACCTGACTGTCCTCACTCACCGGGACCCCTTGGAGGGGAGCGGGTTGAGCTTTCCTCCCTGCCCCGACCAGGGCTCTGGCAGACAAAGACCTCCAGGACCATCCACCACCATGCTGAGACCACTCTCTGCACACATGAAGGTACTGGCAGAGGGACAAAGTCACGCGGGTTCCGGAGCCGAGATCTCCAAGCCTACTCGGATTTGGGCCGAGCATCCTCCACCCAGATCCTCCAAATTCCAGTAGGCGGGGGTCACACCCACCAACTGGACCCCTGACGTCGTGTAATTTTATGGGTTAGGTCTCAAAATACCTTCCTTGCACTTTATCTTCACTTACTTTTAACTGATAATATAGTTGGATTTAATGCACATTCTGATTTAATCAATCACACTTAGCTAATTCGGTTTAATTAATCACAATGGACTATTCCCAAATGATTTACTGAATGCTTATGTTAAAGCACAGTGAGATACTATCGAAATTTTAGCACTGTAGCACTGTCCTCCCGTTGTTCATCAATTTGCTCGAGCGGGCCCAGTAAGGTCTTCATTGTGAGACTTGGTACTGTGTTTGCATATCAAATATGTCACGGGTAGTTTGCCAGGCTTTGCTGTGTGGGTGAGATACTATTGGTAGCTTGCCAGGCTCTCCGAGAGGAGCAGAGGAATCGAACTCGGTTTGGCTGGGATGGCCGCATACAAGGCAAACGCCCTACCTGCTGTGCTATTGCAGCATTTTACATATTAAATAATACCATGTAATACTACTAATTAATAATACTAATACAGCGTTTAAATGCATTTAAATAATTTAAATAATACCAATAGAGCGTTTAAATGTTAAATAATACTATAATAGTATGACTTAACATTTAAATACATTTAAATACACAATTTCTATACTATTGTATAAAATATCTAGACAACGTTGAACTTTGGAGAAAGGTCTAAAGCTACAACTTATATAAGGCGGTTACATTTTTCAGCATGTCAACACCATAGATATTCTAGAAAGAAATACTAGGCATCTTAATTCCACTACGGAAAATACAATTATCCACTCATCCATATACACACAAAACATCAGTTGTCTAAAGTGTCTGACATCTGGTTCTTGGGTTCTTGGGAACGTTGGGGAAGAACAGTATCCTGGCCACTGGACGTCTGCAGTGTTGCAGCTTTGATTTAATAGCTTGCAGGAGGGTAGCAGCAATCTCTGCTAAGGACAGGGACCCGAGCAGTTCCCTTTCAGCAACTGCATCTCCAGCAACTTCCCATGGCAACAGCTTCTTCTCTGAAGCTTCCCAGGTGTCATTCCTTTCCAGCAGCAGCTTCTCACAAAGGTTTCTTTCTCTTCCAGGACCCCATGGCAGTCATGGATTTTGACCCATGCTTATATACTGCAGGTATCTCTGCTCCTAGTGTCTGATTGGTTATACCTGATATCTGAGTTTGAAAACATATCAATCTGATTGATTTCACAAAGTGATAAGACAGTTAAGGGATAGAGAGATAGCACAGTAGTTAGAGCTTGTACCTAGCATGCTGCTTCATCAGGTTCAATCCTTGAATCAGTATGCCCCGTAGAGCGCCAAGTAGTCATTCTGAGCACAGAGTCATGTGTGGCCCCAAATCCCATAAACTCAATCACCCCAAAGACCAATCAGATCCTGCTTCATACAAGCACCACCCAAATGTGTGTTTATTTTCTAAAACACACCCTTCTTCAAGAAGGGCCATTCTCTTCTTTTAATGATACCATTGTCTCCTGTTTTTTTCCTTTTCTCTAGAACCATCACTTTCCTTCTTTTCTTTTAATTTCATTTAATTATACCTTATTGAAATATTGAAATATGCAAACCATTTACACAAAGATCACACCAAAGCCAAGAAGGAAGTCTGCCTCTTCCAAAGTGGAAGCCAAAGCCAAAACTTTGAATGCCAAGAAATCAGAGCTGAAAGGTGTCTACAAACACAAAAAGACCTGTGCATCATCACCTCCTCTGAAGAGTGTCTCCAAGAGAAACAAACTTGACCACTGTGTCACCATCAAGTGCTCTCTGACCACTAAGTCTGCCAGGAAGAAGATAGAAACTGAGAACACACTTATATTCATTGTGGGTATCAATGCTAACAAGCACTGGATTGAACAACTTGCAAAGATGCTCCATGACATTTATGTGGCCAAAGTTAACACCCCTACTAGGCCTGATGGAGAGAAGTTTGATGTCCATCTGACTCCTTATTATGGTATTTGGATGCTGTTGACAAAATTGGGATCATCTAAATAATCTAGCTGGGTATTTGTACCTTTTTTCCACCATAAAAAAGTAAAACATAGGTCTAGATACATAGAAAAGGGATTAAAACACTGGCCTTTCACACATTGAACCAGATCTCACTCCCTGTAACTGCATATGCTTCCTGAGCACTGAGCTATGAGTAAGCCCTGAGCACTGTCAAGTGTGCCCCTTCCCTCAAAAATAGTTACACAGGCCTATGCATACTTAAAATGCTAGATATATGGGTCTTCCATTCTAAATGCATCTTTTAGGATATACTAATATGCCAGAACAAAGTAAATTTTCTTATTTGTTACATCCTAAAAATTTCTAGAATTTATTCTAGAGACTCCAGCAGAAGCCAAGGCCAGTAGTCAGCATTGAGGAAAAATTATCCACTGCTCAGTTTTAAGTTCCAAATCAGTATTATTGCATGCATGATATGAAGTACAAACATTCTTCAGAGAATAAGTTTCAAAGTTTAATTTTTTTCAGAACTTTCACTTCCAACGTGAATCAAACAATGCTTTAAGTATTTGTGTCATGACTTCCAAGTGGCTTCACCCCTGTTAGCCTGAGGTCCAGAAAGCTTGAACCAGATCTAGCTGCTGGTTTTTATTATAAAGAGGGCAGAGAGAAAACATCACTTGCAAATTCACAAAAGCTCTGATGGAACAGCAAAATGTGTTAAAAGTTAAAACGTCTGGCAGGAAATGTAGCTGTGAGCAAAGTGGGTTGGGATTGAGATGTGACCTATATACATTCAATTATTTATTCTTTACTACGAAAAAAATAGAGACCCTTTTCAGTTTTCTGAAAAGGGAATTGAAGATATGACTCAGGGGATTAGACCACAGTCTTGGCATGGTAGATGCTTCCGGTTTTATCTCCAGCACTAACTGGTTCTCCTTCAACATCTGTCCAAAGCAACCCTCGAAAGCTTCCCATTGAGAGCTGATGGCATAACCAATTACAAAAAATGTTCTGCCATAAGTTATAAAAAATTAACTCATGGAAAATTTATTCAAGAGTAGGTGGACAAAATTCATAACAATATTCTCAGATAAACTACCTGAGGAAGCAGGAAAAGCAAGCATTGAAGAAAATCACTTTTGTCATTTTCCAGGTATTCATGTGACTGACAGGCAAGAAAGAGGGGATCAGGCTGAAGTCTAGCTTCAAGCGCAGATTTCCAATCCTGAGAGGCACTGCAGTGGCATCTGTGAAATATGGACTCCATTTTTGTCTTTAAACTCTTTCATCTTAGGCCCACAACTGACCCTATTTAAGGAATGAAGCCTGTTAGTATATAATCATTATTATGCCCATCATGGATTTGTGAAACCATGAGTACAATTAATTAAACTTGGTGTAAGCACGTAATGTATTTTTGGGGTCTTAGATAACAATTTACACAAACCACTAGTAATTTTATATTTTAAAAAACTCTTTCCTTCAATCAGGGTAAGAAACCCTCTAAAGGCAAAGAATCAGCTCTTGGTTTCATTGACCTTTAGAATCTCTTTGGAGGTCTTTCTTTTAATTATTTCTATTCCAATATTTACTGTTTCCTTCTGCTGATTTTTGTTTCTGTTTGTTCTTCCTTTTTAGTTTTTTTCAAGTATGAGACTGTTTTATTTTTCCTTTGAGAATTCTCTTGTTTATTGACGTAGAGTTGTACAGCAGTGAACATTCTTTTAATATTCCCTTTACTGCTTCTGTAGAATCTGAGAACTCATCTCTTTGTTTCTGCTGTTCCCTCGGTAATTTTGAATTTCTCCTTTGATGTAGTTATTTTCAGAAGTATATCTCTTAGTCTGCACATATATGAAGTTTTCCCGTTTATCTTTGTTGTAAAGTTCAAGTCTCAGATCTATTCCATTGCAAATAGAAACGGTGCTTAATGTAATCTTCACATATAAATTAATGTGTCCTGTGTCCCCAGCATTTGATCTATTCTTAAGAATATTTCATGTATAGTTGAGAATAATTTGTATTCATTTATTTACATTTATCCTCTATATATCTATTAAGGTCATTTAATTGATTACTTCATTTAGTGACTTCATTTCCTCAATATGTTTTCTGCATGACCTGGCTATTGCTATTTGTGGTGTTTTGAAATACCCTAAAATTGCTTTTGTTGAATGCATCTCTTGAAGTCTGCTAAAATTTTAATTTAGGTTTCCTTTTGTTGATAACATTTCAAATTTTGTATCCTATTGATATATTAATTTCATTATTACATGATATACATTATGTAATATATATCATTATCAATGTCTGTTATACTTGTATAGCTAGAATTAAGAACAGAAGTTACTGTGCTTTTATTTTTATTGCTGGCTGGTAATATGTTGCCTCCAGTCTTTTACTCTGAGTCTGTGTTTATATGTAATGGGAGCATCTAGTGTGTACAGTGTGGAAGGATTTTGATTCTTTTTCATTAGGTTTCATTTTTGAATCATATCTGGCCGTACTCAGTGGCTAGTCCTGACACTGTTCTTAGGGATCACTACAGGCATTGTTTGAGGGACCATGCAGTGCCAAAGAGAAAAACCTGAAGCTTCTGCATGCCAATTATGTGTTCATCCACTTGAACTCTCTTTATCATCCTGAGTACTGGTTTATTTTTCATCTCTCCAGTCAATAGGTATATAGTTTGGTGATTTTAGACCAAGCAGCTAGGTTGATTATATACTTAAGAGGTTTACTTAAGAAATTTTTCCTTTATTTTCTGGTTATTTATATATTTATACATTTTGTTTCTTTTTGTTTGCCATTTTACTTGATTTTCCCTGGTAATCCTCTCAGTTTCATATTTTTCTCTTCAATATCTCCGATCCAGATTTTATTTTATGGTTTCAACAAATGAATTATATTTCACATAGACTTTGGAACTCATATTTATATATCATAGAATAACTTTATACATTTCTGATGTTTCTAAGAATAAAACATTATCATTAATGTGCATATATTATTCAGCATTAATTATACATTTTTCTTTTAATGTGAATTTGAAAAATATATAAATTAGATATAGATATATTAAATTCAGTACAGAAATATATTCAGGTTCTTTGATCTCCCTCATAATTCTATTCTATTTTATTTTGCAGGGAACCCTCAGAGGTAGTGCTTAGGAGGTTCTGAGGTCCCTCCCAGCTTATCTCCACTAACCAGGCTGATAGTTTAAGGCAAGGACCTGAGAATGAATTATTGCTGGACATTTCTTAGGCCTCCCAGTGTTAGTCGAGGTCCTTCAGGCCAGCATTTGGCAATAATCTAGCCATATAGGGCTGGAGCAATAGCATAGCAGGTAGGGCATTTGCCTTGCACACGACCAATCTGGGTTTGATTCCTCTGTCCCTCTCAGAGAGTCTGGCAAGCTACCTAGAGTATCCCACCCGCATGGCAGAGCTTGGCAAGCTTCCTGTGACATATTCAATATGCCAAAAACAGTAACAACAAGTCTCACAATGGAGACCTTACTGGTGCCTGCTTGAGCAAATCGATGAACAATGGGAGGACAGTTCTATAGTGCTACAGTTAGCCATATAGAAATTCACCTGTTGATATTTCAGGAACCACGTAGCACAAAGGGTCAGAAATTTGCAAAGAAGGTGACTTAACCCCACACCAACTCATTAAACTTTAAACTCTTTTGTAATATATCATAATGATATACCATCAAATACTTCTTATTTCTTAGTTAATATTTGAATCATGTAAGTTAAATTCTATTGAATGCAAAGAGCTTGAATAATTGCACTGAGGATGATCAAATTATATATTATTTTCTATTTATTACTAGTCATCCACTTTTTAAAATCAAAAGTTTATTTTATTTTTTTAAATAAAATCAGTAATCTCTATTTTTTAAAAATTTTTAATAGTGAAACATCATGAGGTACAGTTGCAGACTTACCAATTTTTGTGCTTGGGTATCAATTATACAATGATCAAATATCAATCCCTCCACCAGTGCCCATCTCCCACCACCACGGATCCCAGTATCCCTCCCACCCCCCATCCCCCCCATCCCGCCCTGCCTCTGTGGCAGGGCATTCCCTTTTCTTCTCTCTCTCTTATTGGGTGTTGTGGTTTGCAAAAGAGGCAATGGGTGACAATCATGTTTGGTCCATAGTCTACTTTCAGCATGCTTCTCCCATCCTGGGAGGATCCTCCCAACACCTTTATTTGGTGTTCGCTTCTCTATCTGAGCTCCCTTTTCCCCTAGCATGTGTGGTTGGCCTCCAAGCCATGGAGTAAAATTTCTGGTACTAACCTCAGCCATTCTTGGGTGTTAGTCTCCTATTTTGTTACTTTATGTTCCCTAGATGAATGCAATCTTTCTATGTCTATCCCTTTCTTTCTGAGTCATTTCGCTTAATATGATACTTTACATGTAGTACCACTTATATGTAAATTTTGTAACTTCATCTTTTCTAACAGCTACATAGTACTCCATTGTCTAAATGTACCAAAGTTTCTTTAACCAGTCATCTGTTCTCGGGCACTCAGGTTTTTTCCAGATTCTGGCTACTTTAAAGAGTGCTGCAATGAACAAACAATTGCAGATGTCACTTCGACTATACTTTTTTGCCTCTCTGGGATATATTCCCAGGAGTGGCATTGCTGGATCAAATGGGAGCTCAATTTCTAATTTTTTGAGAATCATCAATACTGTTTTCCAAAAGGGCTGAACCAGTCGGCATTCCCACCAACAATGAAGGAACGTCCCTTTCTCGCCACATCTGCGCCAGCATTGGTTGCTTTTGTTCTTGTGGATATGGGCTAGTCTATGTGGTGTGAAATGATATCTCATTGTGGTTTTGATCTGCATCTTCCTGATGATTAATGATGTGGAGCATTTTCTCATGTGCCTTTTAACCATTCAGATTTCTTCTTTGTGAAAGTTTCTATTCATTTCATCTCCCCATTTTTTGATGGGGTTGAATGTTTTCTTTTTGTGGAGTTGACCAGTATTTTGTAAGTCCTTGATA